TGTGCCCAGGGTCAAGTTACGAACCGGCTAATGAATTGGTAAGCAGCGATGCTACGAGGCGTAATACATAGTCTACAAATATTTATCAAAGAGTCCAGCTAGTTTGACGAGTAGCAATGATTCTACGCTCATCCGCTAAATACATACAAATAATGGGCAACTAGGCCTGACTGCTTGGAAAAATCGATTTTGGGTTTTCCGGCCTCCCACAACTCCATTGCATTCCGTCTCATTGCACAACCCTTGTGGGGGTTGATCTCTCCTAGCCTTACCGTGCATATATTCCCAGTGGCTGCACATATTTTCGCAGATAATCCTTTTTAGTTTTAATTAAATGTATTTGTTTTAATAAATTTATTGACTATGTATGAATGCACATACAAATAAACAACAATTTCCACGCAATTACAAACTAGTTTTTTTTTAGTCCCAAATATTCCCATTCTAATCACTTTACACAAGCCCATTTTCGATGAAAACAACGTACAAACAATTTTCAGATTCGCACATTTACCCAAAAACTCGTCAGCAACAAAACAAACAACAACAGTGTGAAAATTTTACCACATTTTATGCCAACACTTTTCAATGGATTTTAAAAGGGATTTCTTGGCATATGCACATTTCCGTAGTCCAACCAAAAAATAGTTTTAGCGCAATGTTTAACACTATCGCTATGGTTACGACACCATCTCCTCAATGCTTGCCACATTTTGGTGCTTGTTCGTTCATCTGTGGCATGCTGCTGGCAAAAGTTCCCTGTGTCGCGTGTGGACGTGGATATGCATGCACGTAATGCACGTCGTCAGTTGAAAAGAGCTGAGCTCCAACACATGGTCGACCGTCAGACCGGCCGACATGTGGACTCGGCCAGCGGAGTAGCTACTACCGCCATGGAAAAACGTAATAGTATTGTGCAAACGTTTATGCAAAAACGACGATTTGGTGGTGCCGCATGGTGTTTGTATGTACATTAGGGTGGATTTTTTAGAATGGAATAAAGAAAACCCGCATTTTTTGTAGCAAAAAGGAATATTTAGAACTGCCTCAAAGCCCATGAATTTTTCCATTTTTTATGTAGGGAAAATCAGTTTTCTGTAGAAATTGTATAAAATCCTTGAAAATCAATATTTATCAATCCGGAAAACTTTGTTTCTCTTCAGCATACTTCCAATAATAATACCCAATTGTTTATTGGAACAGTTTTAATACAAAAAAGACTTTTCATGGATTCCCTATTGCATTTTTGGGGGCCTATGACAAAATAGTTCATATTAAAAAATGGTTAAATAAACAACTGGGTATTATTTGTGGAAGCCACCTGAAGAGAAATTGAGTTTTCCGATCGAAAAGTATTGATTTTCAAAGATTCCATACATTTAACATATACGGAAAATTGTTTTTTCTTTTATTATACATTGAAACTTTTAAGCGCTTTGAGCGACCTCTAAATATTTTTTGGCTTCAAAATAGAAAAAAAGGCACGGTATATTTTTTCGGTATAGTATAATCCTAGGGCGTGAGAGCATTAAAAATCCGACTATACTTTTTTTTGGACTACCCTAATGTGCATACAAATCTACTTTATGGTTATTTGGCGAGGCCGTACAGCATGTGGCATGTGGCATGCAAAAATCTTCGGTATCACACCATTCAAACAATTCCGCTCGAATGAATACACCGCCGGCAGGGTTTATTGTTTATAGGTAAACATTCGTTTTTAAACATTTTAGCTTTGCCTTTATACACTGCAATGAAGATAAAACTGTGAAACTCGTACCATACTCCAATATTTTGTGCGTGTTGTCCTACGTCCCGCTTAACAATTGTATTTTCGCAATATGCCCTACTTCGTTGGAAGAAAAGCTAAAATACTGTTTATAAAAGCGGTTATTAGAAGTTATGAAAACGTTACGTTTTACACATAATTGATGATGTTTTGTTAAGTGGTTGACCGTGCTTCCCCTCCAGCTCCTGATGGGCGTCTTCATTTTTCCACACACTTTTACTCTGCCTTAAAACTGCAAATTTTTCGCATTAAGAGCAAAAACAGCCGCCATTAGAAAATTATGATATTGATCTGATCAGGAATCAAACTTGGATTCCACCGAGTTGTAGTATGCACCCCTAATAACTCAATTCGCTGAACTACATATGTGAATATCGCCGCAAAACTAATACCGATGGCCACGGGGCTACTTCGTTTCATCTGGTCGATATCACCAAACCCATCCTATTTTTGAAGGCCGTGCGTAAGTTTTAACTAGATGAACTATCCCAACTTGCTAGCGCAGCTTTGTCAGACAAACTATCCTAACTGAGACGCAACTATTTTTTGTGCTTAATATCTTAACATACAAGTTAGGATAGTTCACCGGTTAAGGTAGTCTTTCGCACGGCGTTAAAAATAGGATAGAGATGAAGTAGCCTGGAGCCACCGATATAGCTTATCTTTCTATCGTCTGAGGTATTCGTCGTCGCCTATGGATTAGACTCCATATATCCTTCAGAACACTTTTTTCTTGAAAACTCAACGAGCCGTTTCGTCCGAGGGAGTTATAAAGTGTGATTTTTTTTTCGCTCGTCGAGGGAGGAGTGAACTTTTTAGCTGCCTACAGTTTAAAGACGCATTTGCTGGCAAGGGTGATACTCTATTAAATTTCAAGACTAACGTTATTATCGTTGCTTAAGAAGTAGTGTATGCCAAATATTTCTCTTCCAGGTCTTAAAGTATTGTGAATATCTGGTCGATTGTGGACTTATTAGATCTAAAGTCACATATATTAGGTCCTAGACGATGAGCCTATACCTTTCACAGATCGTGGGACCACCTTTCTTATGGTTTTGGCAGAGTACGCCTAGAATGTAAAAAATAAATGTAGAAAAATAAAAATCAACTTGCTTTTGTGGAGTCTTCAAACTTGCACCTCATTATACTAAAATTTCATGGGTGATAAAACTGCATACCCGGAAGTGTTTCACAATTTCATATTAAAAAGTTGAAAAATTTGAAGAAATTTTCAAATTTAATTTTTTTTTTTGCTTAAAACTTCGATTAAAGCCGTTTTAGCAATAGCATGGATAACATTTTTATCAAACATCAACGAAAATGTTTTAATATGAAAAATATATTTATATTAAAAAAAAAATAATAATCGTTTTGGCACTATGCACACTACATATAAGCACTTATTATGCAATACAATTATCACTCGAACAGAGCGGTGATGCTGTTAACGCAATTATTTGTAATTACCAGTATTGTTATGGCGAATTTATATGCCATACATACATATGTATGTATATTTGCTTTTGTTGTAACGCAAAATATTTGATAGTCGCTGTGGTGTTGGCTTTAATACATTGTATACAATAGCTGGCAATTATTTAATTAACTTTTCTCGGCAGCTGCCGTAAAGCCCGTTTAAAACATTTGAGTATGTTATATGTATATGAGTACATACTATGTACTCATAAGTGTTGTTGCGAATGTTATTCCGTTATAAAAGTCCTTTCCGGATAATAAACAAACCGTTTATCCAAATTAAATAAGTTTGGTATCAGATGAAAGAGGACTTAAATAGCTTACAAACTGAAATGTCTGAATGAGGAAAGCCACGTATGGAAAAATATTTCAATAAAAAATGTTAATTAATTACCAAAGAACAAACCTTGTGGCAGGTATATGCATTTCTTTAGCATTAAACTATAAAAAAAAGTAATTTTTGGCAAAAAACAAAACCGAATTCAATTCTCGTATAAGAAAAAAAAATATATATATATATATATTTCATAATCCAATGATCGGATATAACCCAGATTAGTATGGGACCACCTCTGAGACACTACGTTTCCGATGCAAAAATAATTATCGAAATCGGTTGATATGGTCCAAAGTTATGTTATATATATAAGAAATATTCCGACGACCTCATAACCTCCTCCTTTTTTGGAAATCGGTTAAAAATATAAATAGAAGTGGTTCGCTATTTCTGTTTAAAAGCTATTTTAGTCCTCTTTCATATAATACCAAATTTGTTTAATTTAGACAGGCGGTTTGTTTATTTATTTCGGAATAATATTCGCAACAGCCCTAGTGTGTATATTAATGCAACTCAAGAAAGCGGATATGAAAGAAACCAAACCTTTTTTTTTTGCAAACACCGTCGTAAATGATGCGTTTCGAGAGTAAATTTTCAATATCCGTGTTTTAATGAGTTTATGGCAAAGTGACTGTACACAATAAATAAATACTAAATTTTATGAAGGGGGGGAATACCCGCCACTCCTCTGCCATGTTTTTGGACATGATTGCCTTGAAAGACATTATCATTGATATGTATGTATGTATGTAGGCAATTATTGAATAAAGTTCTTGTTATAACGCTTTAATCGGAATTATTCGAACAGCAAGTGCGACGAATTGCAATTAAATATGTGTACATACATATATACTATGTGTGTACAATATACATATATAACATGTGCATATGTGTATGTATAAGCAACTGACTGCATATTTTAAAAGTAATTTAAGAATTCGCCGCTAATTGTTGTAAATCGAAAGGAACTGATACATAACTAAATACTTGTAAGCATGCAGGTAAACACTCGTATGTATGTATTTATAAGCCAGCTTTTGTCAGCATATGTTGTAATTTTAATTGTAAATTAACGCTTATAATATAAGTACTACTCAGTTTCAAAACACCGACTGCCATACTTTTGCATAATTTTTTTAAATTATTATTTTTCTTTTATTATGTATGTATGTATTTATGTATACACGCTTACAAAGTTGTTCGTGATTTCCTGTTGGCGCTCCTTCACCTATTTAATGCCATAATTTGCTGTAATTATCAAGTGTTGTAACTTATTATATATGTATGTATACTTTTAAACTGGATTGTGTGCTAGTATATTAGCGTTGATTATGCATTTACGATATTTTGCTTGTGCCATTTTATGCTAACTTCCTTTTTCCTCTCTTCTATTTGCAGTTTTCAACGCCGAGGCACGTCATATTTAAATTAATAAAGGTAAACGTTTAGTAATTTAAGTATTTTTTAAAAGTAAAAATATGCGCACTTTCAAACAATTTTACATTCAATGTGAAATAAGTAGTTTTGGTATTTTTTGGCCATTTCGTCTAATTTTAGTAGCGCTATCGGTAGGTTGGTAGGTTGTAGGATGAGTGTTTGTAGATACAAAAAGTATGCGAAATTGCTGACTCATTTTCCTTAATAAAAAGTGAAATTTGTGGTTATAATGATTAATTATTTCAACTTTTTACCAACGGGCTTAGGACCGCATCAATAATATTGAATTACCTCCCACTGTTGTGTGGAGATGGAAGTGTTTGAATGCCATGCATGTGAATTTTAACGTTTGGGCTAGTGATTGACTAGACAAACTTTCTTTATGGTAGAATCTGGGGAAAATGTGATATATCTCAGGTTTAAGCTAGTCTTTATTTATTTTTTCTTTTATTATGTATTATGAACAGAAAATGTTGTAGTGTCGGGGCAATTTTGAAAATTTTTGACTATTTGCGTTTATTTATTTAATGTTTATTAATTGTTTATAAAAGTATACATCTATCGCAAAAACACAGGCCAACAAAATTTCAAAAAACGTTTGCGGCACGGAAAGTGAACTCTGATTCTTATTAGATTTTTTCCGTAGAATCAGAGTTTGAAATTAGAAATATTAGATTGGCTCCAGTTTTTGAGATATTTTGTCTTGAAAGTGGCAAAATACTAAAATTTGGCATTTTTTAGACATCTAATGGACTAACGGGATCTGGTAAAATTTTTTGAATAAGATGTAAGAAAGCTAAACATTGCTCTTTTAGCACAAACAATTTACTTTTATAAACATAAAACTCTCAGTTATTTTAAAATTTGTAAAGTATAAATATGCGGAAATGTTTGACTTTTTGCTTATCCGTATATTTAAAAACTTTTCAAAAATAAATACAACTATAAAGTGTGTTTATATTTCTGCCAGAGGCCATAAAATTGCTGTTCCTCTGTTTCCCCTGTAGATATTTTCAAGACTGCGACGATTGCACAGCACTCTGAATTTCACAATGCAAAATTCACATTTCTTGGTAGTAGTATTAAAGTAATAAAAAAATATATAAACTAAATAAATTTACGACCATGCCGAAAATCGGCGGATGCCCAATTTTCAATTCAAATTTCTATGTTAATTAGAAGGTAAGTTTGCCCATTTTGAATGCCCTCTATAAGTGCCAGGAGGAGGAATATTCTTCTAACCGTTATAGTGTCTAGTAAGCCACCTACAGGGATAGTTGTAGAATTGAGATATTTTCACTTTCTTTACCTCCAACGTGGCGACGCCAAAGTGTGATCCCAAGTGCTTAAGTCACCTTCTCTGCAAAGCTGAGCATTGATATGAGGAATGGTGAGTCAATTCCACCTTTTCCTCATCCCTACCTTTTCTGCAGATTTGTTTAAGGCCCGATGGTCCTCAGTTCGTTTCTTGTTAAGCTGCGGCCATAAAGACCTTAAAACTTCGCAGTCGTCTCGAGTGACGCTGATGTTTCTTGATTTCACTACCTGGGATAGGTTCTTTTACGGATGCTTGACATTTTTGTAAAGACATTGCAGTCGTCTGGATATCGTTATGATTGCGGGTCAATAGAGACCCACACAAATTTATTTTTTATCTTTGAGCCATCGGTGCAGAGTGAAATACTATGATTTCCTGTCAGTAGACCACTGTCCCATTCTTCGCTAGCTACAAAAGGTATCATAATCCTAAAGGGGAAGTCCCAGATTGCCGAGACCATTGTGCCTTCCTCTTTTAAGCTTACTCAAGATCGCTATGCGCTTCTATTCGGCCTACTTTCACAATTCCAATTTCCCTAATCTGTGGCTGCGGCTGTAACGAATCTTCTTTATGTGTTGCATTTCCGAGGAATTGGAGCCGTCGAAGTCTTCCGATTATTTTAAGTATTTTAACTCAGGGGAAATGTTCGGGCTAGTGACATCTAGCCTTGCTAATGAGAGTTCAGGCCTCTTGGTTTTTCCTGTCAACAAGATAAGTTTAGTTTGACGGTACTATAAACGTGTTTTTTATGAAAAAGTCGCGCTTGATGATACTACCATAATGCCAAACCTCACGATTGACATAGAACCGTTTTCTGAAGTAATCTTTAACTTTAAAGCTCGCTTTATATATAATACAACCTTTAAATATAAAGTGAGCTTTTAAGTTATAGGTTACTTGGGAAAATGGCCCATAGAGTAAGATAACAAAAATATTTTGATCAGAGTCAGAGAGAGAGAGAGAGAGAGCAAATGCTACGATTTGCTTGTTTTGTATGCAGATTGGCAAAACTTCACGCTAGACATATTTACATACATATGTTTATGTATATTACGTAGTGCATATGTATGTGAACTTATGTATGAAAAAAAATTTATTTATAGAAGTTTATGTACTTACGCAAATACGAGTATCAAATTTTATTCATAATGCATGGAATTTTCCCAAGTGGGTACCAATGCTACTTGTATTAGAACAAAAACGCAATGCTTTCAGACTAAAGGCCGGTCCACATAGAACTTTCGCGTTGGCTTTGGCGTTGGTTTGACAGAACGCACGTTAAAAGTATGCTTGCTACAATGAACGCTTGACAGCGAATTTACATACTAACGACAGATAAATTAATACATATTTCATATCAATAATTGCCCGCGCTTTATTAAAAAGGAAAAATATTTCACATAATTTTATTTATTTGCAACAGCTGCCGAGCGACGCATGCGAAAAGTTGATAGTTGACCCTCACTTTGCTTTGTGTTGGCGTGAGCGTTGCCGAATTTTGGCTATGTGGACGGCTGCATTTGAATGCATTTATTCATAGTCAGCTGTTGAAGCGACGACAACGCCAACGCAACGCCAAAGTTCTATGTGGATGGGTCTTTAAATTGACAAGCGGCAAAGTTATATGCGCACGCGCTTGGATAAAAGCAAGCCATGAATAAGTATCAGATGTGCAGAGGAATTTCCATAATTCACCACACTTCATTGCCAAATGAGCTATAAACGTTTCCAAGTGCAAGCGCACAGAACGAATCAACCTAAATAAGCGTGAGCGTAGTATTTGATTTCTGAAAATGCGTTGTGTGCTGAACAGTGTTGCCGCGAATCATTTTTAGTGGTAGTCAAATGCCTTTAANAAGAGCGAAATACACAACACAAGCGGCTTGACAAACCAAGCGAAATTTCCCTTTGCTTCAAGCCATTTGTGCTGTGTATGGGGGTGTTTGAAGGTTTGACGGCGGTTTGTCAAACCTTCAAACACCCCCATACACAGCACAAATGGCTTGAAGCAAAGGGAAATTTCGCTTGGTTTGTCAAGCCGCTTGTGTTGTGTATTTCGCTCTTAACATATACGTGTGTAAGTATACACGTAAACATTAGAAATTTTTTTTGACAGCGAGAGCAGATGGTAAATACACTTGGACAAAACTAACTATGGCCTTTATTTCAGCCCCCAACTTTAACTTTTTCGAGTTCATGGATGTGAGCTCGATGACTGGTATAGAAAAACAGTGAACTCTAGAAAAAAGCTAATATTTTATCCAACCAAAAATCGTTTCGTATAAAAGGGGAAATATACGACACCAGCTTGCTGGCTCCATCAAGTGATTGTACTATCAGGCTAGGGTTGCCAACCGTACTATAATACACAGTATTGTACTATTTTTCCGGTCGGCGTACTATATACTGTTGGAAAAAAATATAGTACGCGAAAATACTATATTTCTTCAATTATAAATATAAATATATGTCAGTAATTTCACGAAAAAATTTGTATTAAAATGGATGACTTTTATACTGAAATGACAATTTTAGATGAAATATTCTTTAAAATAAAAGGTCATTGTGAGTTTATAATCATAAAAGGTAACATAACTGAGAAAGAGTTAACAAGTTTACTTAAAATTATTTAATTTGCACCCTTTATTCCAACAACTTCGGCATTCACAGGGAGAAATTTTCCGTCACTTAAAATTCATGTTTACTTTCTATAAAATATAAAATACTATATATATTTGAAGTGTGCTATATTTTTTCTAATTTTTATGAAAAAGTACTATAAATATCCCAGAAAATGTTGGCAACCCTCCCTCAAGCTCGAAGCATATAACCAGCATATACCAGCATGTTGGTACAATATTTATTTATTTACGAATGAGGTCCAGGAAAGATCGAAATGATTGGAGCCGAAATTTCATAATTTTTCTACCATTTTGTTAAACATTGTTTTTTTTTGTTTAAATTCACAACTGCAATATCGTGAACTTAATCTTCCACAAACACGGCTTTGACTCATATAGTGAAGAAATTTCCGCCAAAATACTTTTTACTTACAAAATTGAGCTAATTTCACCACTCACTTAAAAACTTAAGGAGCATACTATACAAATATCTATTACATAAATAAGAAAAAAATGAGATCAAATTAAACATATACATATAACTTTTCCATGCCAAGTATGAATAAATTCTCCAAAGGCCTAAAAAAGGGCTAGGAGCAATTTTAAATTTAAATGGCCAAAAAAAGTATGCAGTAGCTAAATCTAGCCACCAAAGGACTGAAACGGCAACACTGGTGTTGAAGCTTTCGTAAATGTGTATCTAAATACATATGCTGGCAGATTATGGAATGCATTCGATAAATATTTGATTTAATGGATTCGTATATTTGCAAGTGTGCAATTCAAGAATTTTCATACTTTCGTATACATATGTATAGTATATATGTATGTATGTATGTGTATAAAATTTGCATACAAATGTATAATAAATATCATGCACTCAGATATGTACGTACTATATTGTAACGGTAATAAACAGAAATCAATCAAATGCAGCAGCAGCATTGGCAGCTAGGGACACGAATCTCGATACGATACGATACCATATCGATATTTTTGCCATTCGATACCGATCCTTTTTAATCGATAGTTTTCAAACCATATTTTTTGGAATCGAGTAA